GTACCACCTCTTGTTTAGTTCTTGGAATGTCCGCTGGATGGCGGTGCTTCTATATGTGGAATATATGATGAAAAATGCGAGATGGTGGTACTTAGAGTGTTGACTAGACTGACGAATGGACACACGGACAGATGCATGAACGGACGCATGAATGGCTGCACGGACGGATGGACGCATGGATGGACGCAGAGGTGGATGTATGGACGAACGCAGGGACGGACGCAGGGACGGACGCATAGATGGACGTGCGGATGCACGAACAGACTCACGCACGGACGGGCAGATGGACGCATGGGTGGTCAAACAGACGGACGCATGGACAGACGGAAGCAAGAACAAATGGACGAATGGATGCTTCGCCCCACTCTCCATCATTCACCCCGTGGATATGCTGCCATTTTTTATCTCCCTCTGCCCGTGCACGCGCTTCTGAAATGCCAACGGCGTGTCACAGCATTCGTGCGAGACGCGGACCGCGTGTCACTAACACGCCGGTGCGGGTTCCTTGCACTTGGAAGTGTTCCCGCGCTCTTGTGAGACGCAGACAGCATTCTTGTCGACGAGCACCACGAGAGAGCTCAGCTGATGGGCGTCTCTTGCACTGCCAGTCCTCAGTCATGACAGGGTGCGCTTCTGTACTCAGCGGAACGAGAAAAAAAAAATGAAAGAAGATTCTCCTGTTTTGAAAACACCGCCCAGCTTAGTCAACCATCCTTAACACGATGACTGGTTACATTGTAACCAAAGAATCGCAGCGCACTGAGGGGTCGATTTGACTGTTTCTTATTGTTGGCTCGTTCATAAGGGGGTGTCACCAGAGCTCGGGAAGATCCCGACTTTCGCGAAACTCGGCCGATCCTTCTTAGCGCCCCTATTCTCCAGGTGGTTGTGCTGCGTCAGTTTAGTACGAACTTGATGAGGGTTACGGAAATTCTTTTATCGCCTTCGGTGTTCACTGAAGTCCTGAAGTCCTGGCAACAAAGTAGCCTTCCGCAAGTACGGTTGTCCGATGTAAGTTTGCGCACGTTTTTTCGTCCCGTCCGGCCCTGTTCTGCGGCAGTGCCAGTTATAAAATGCGCCCGGAATGATGAAGTGGCACCGCGTCGTCTGCCAGCGCGCGCAGGCTGGTGGGATTGCACCACGCTCCACCGTCGACCTTCGCGGTGCCGCGGTTGCGCGCACTCATGCCGTGGCTGGCCTAGACGAACATATGGCTCCGCACGCGTGGTGCCCAGACGAACCTACGGCACCGCAAGAGTGCACACCTGCACTCTTGCGGTGCCGCCACCAGTGCCACCAGCCGCCACCAGTGCCACCAGCCGAAGAAGCCATTAGTTCACAGGAGTGGTCACTTGATTACACTTCAATCGGTTTCTGGACACTGCGGTCTGGTTGGCAACAAACTAGCCAATAGCGAAGCAAGAGTGGCAATATGCAGCGCTTCTATGTAAATCAAAGTACCGTATTCACGAAGGGACGTCAACACATTGTTAAGATCGCTCATACGCTCATGCGCTGCCACTTACTGGTCGCTACCAGATCATCGAAACACGCGTCTGCAGGAAACAGACCACGATATGACTTTTCGTCTTCCGGCTATAATTAGCCAAAGACGTGCTAGTGTGCGGCAACGTATTCGCCTGGGCGTCGCCTTCACTCGTCACTACGCCCACCTAATCGGCCGCGCGGACAGCCCGAACTGTGAGAGCTGCCAAGTGCACAAAACTTTAGCTCATATATTTTGAGACTGCCCATTATACGTGGTGCATAGAAAAATGCTAACTTCAACGTTGGCAAGCATCGCACGAACGCCTTTGAATAAAACCTACATTTTGTCAGAAATGAACGACCAAAGTGTAAAAAACATCTACAGGGGATGTTTTAGGCTTTATCAAAAGCACTGGATGGAGTAGATACTAGACTATAGGGTGCTAGACTAAGTGGCTACTGTACAAACGCACCACCTCTTCCTGTCCCCATTATCATTTTCACCCCTCTTTTCGTTCACGTTCCGTTATCCACTGGATAGAGTAGCAGGCTAGAGCAAACTAGTACAGGCCGACTTCTCTGCCCTCTAATAAATTATCTCTCTCTCTCTCTCAGTATTATTTCACACGCTAAGTAATTCACATCGGCTTGTGTTATAATATTTGTATGACAGGCATCATTGGGTGCAACTAGCGAAGACGTTAAATCAACGTTCACATGACATCTTTGTATGACAGACATTGTCGGTTGCAACTAGCCAAGACGTTAAAATAACTTTAAAGCTTTTACTGCCACATTATTCATACTAAGCACAGATACAGCTACGCTACTCTTTTGGAAATATGGCACCTCCCTGTTATTGATATATTTAACAAGCTTTTTTTCTTGCAGAATTGTTTATTGGCAGATATTTCTTGTTTTCCCATTACTAATAACGGCTAGAAAACAACGATAAATGAAAAAAAGGAATAGGCATAACTAGAGAGAAAAAATGACGCTGTAACTAAAATTGAAATGAACCGAATATTTTCCACAGTGCAAATATAAATTAGAAAGAGCCAGTCGCGAACGGTAGCCTTGAACGAAGCAAGAATGCAAAGCTACCATCGACCGCATTTACTTACCATAACTCGTGACTCCTGTAAATAAGCAATACTTAGACAAGAAGATGATGTAAAAATACTATATAGATGCGGGCGGTAACCACGGAATGAATAGCAGGCATGCCGTAGTGTCAGGTTCGGAAATTTTGGCGATACATTGCTCTTTGCCATTCAATATTATGACTGATTAAGCGGCCCTCAAACGTTTCGCCTTCATCGTAATCCGACTAACGTGGCGGAGATTTTGCAATCGGTAGGGACAGTTTGTGGCTTTCCCATGGTAAAGTGCATATCGAGCTCTAAAGCGTTCATAGTTTGTCCTAAACAGAATATTGGCACACGTGAAAGGTATCGTGTGACATAGCTGGCTTGGAATGACATTAATGTATTTGTGGTCATTGCAATAGCTTCATTGAGAAAGACAGTGGTATTAGAAGCGAGTGGTGTCTACTTAGTAGACTGGCTGATTTGCATGAGAATTTGCAGGCTACGTTAGTGCATCTCTCCCTGGCCTTAGGTTCAAGGTTATACGGACACAATATTATGGAGTAATATGTGGACAGCAGAATGGCGTGTCGTCTGCTACGGTGCCTCGAGGCGAGGTCCTATCTCTATGGTATTGCAAGGTACCTGCTGCCTTGTAATCAAGAAAGGACTACTTATGTTTCTGCGACGTGGTTGTCACTGCTTATCCAGTGATGGCGTTATTGAAATATTTAGGTATCGATAAAAATGCTCCGCGCTGCGCAGAAAGAATTTCAAAAGTGTAAATGGGTAATGATGAATGAGGCAAACTGGGAGCTGTGTGAAGTGCCTTTTAGTCCGCATTATTTGCTGTTCACACGCTTCGTAAATGCGTAGTATAGATTACATTGTTATTGAACTAAACTACACATCGCTTTAACATGCACAGCGAATCGCCAGAGAAAAATAGCACCACTGCCGATAAAAATAAAAAAAGGCTGTCCTGAGGTGTGCTCAGCGTTCTATATTTAAAGAATAGAGCGGGGGGAGCCAAGTTTCGTCGCATTGCGTTCTCCCACTCTTCCCAACAGCCTCCAAACTAAACGCCTTGCAGTAGGAACGGAGTTCGGATGGTTAGGAGGCGAAGTTTTAAAGGAGTAAGAGAGTACTCTCGTCGCCGCTCGTATGCTCGTGCCTACTACAGAGCCCTTACGCCGTAGCCCACACTCCGTTAAAAGTATTGCGATGTACCCGCTGCAGCCACGACCAGTTTGGGTAGGTGGACCTGCCACTGCGGTCTAATGGTTATGACTCGCAAATGCTGGCCACATGGTCGCGGGATTGAATCCCGACCGCCGTGGTCGCATACAGTTAGGGCCCGTTCACACTTGAGAAGTATTAAGAAAACGAAAACGCCAGAGCGGCCGGAAAACCACGATCGCGCGCGTCGAAGCTGGTCACATTCGTTCTGCCCCATCTCACCACTGCTGCTACCGTTACCTTGACATTTATTTCGACTTTGCTTGTTTTCCGAGAACTAAATTTGTACAGAATTTCAGTTATTCACGCAAATTATGGAAAATAAACTAAAGCTAACCGAAATTGATGACAAGTATTTGTCGCTATTCTCACTTTTCCAACGCTTCACGATTGCTTGATTGATTTATGTGTCGGGTTCAACGTCTAAAAACCTCATTTAATTATGAGAGACGCCGTAGCGGAGGCCCCCAGAAATTTTGAGCAACTAAATCCAAGCACACGGGCCTACAGCATTTTCGCCTCCATTGAAAATGTAGCCGCCATAGCCGGGATTCAATTCTGCGACTGGCGCGTAAGCAGCCGAGTACCTTAGCCACTGGACCACCGCTGCGGGATTCACTTACGCGACGCGTCGATTTCATCGATCTTTTAAACGAAATTTCCTCAGCGCCATCCTCCCAGGACATCGCACACTTGAAAACCAAATCCATTTATATAAAGTAATAGCTCCAATAATTTAGCGCATTTATGATGCACGCGCGTGCCGTCTGAAGTATATCAACATAGCACATTCATGTGAATATCACTGTACAACACGTTTTAAAAAAATGACATTTCTGTGCTGCTCTCGAGTGTAAAGCACACCAATGAAGCCAACTGGTTTGAAAATGTCAGGATTAAAAACTTTGAACTCTTTAAACAGCAATCGAACATGTGATGATTGGTTATTCGTGCTGATGGTATGTGGAAGATTGCTATAGTTGAAGTACTGTGATCAAATTAAAATACATCTATTTAATACAGAGATATACATATAGCTTAAAAAAATATTGTACTCTCGTTTATTGTTATTCTTTCTTTTTTCGGCTCAGTGAGTACGTTAGTATGCCACGCAGAGTTCTTTGCTTCCTTCGGTTATTTGAAACATGAATAACGGTAACCTGAGGAGCAAATTTTTCCACTTACCTCAATTCTTTCTTCGATTTCCTGTAAGAGGAACAACATCACATTTATTATGAGTAAACATTGTGTCTGAACTGCGCTTGTCAAGTGACTTCTTCGCAAGCTGAAATAATACTTCGTGTTCAGGTTGATGAATACGATTAAAGAATTAGATGCATTTGTTGTATATTTAGCTGAAGCGCATTCCATTACTTTATCAAAAGAAAACAAAATAAAGTGCAGAAAAAAACGTGACTGGTGGACAAAGCCCAAGCTAGAGAAAACAAAGACTGCGGGTGCGAGAACCGCCAGCGGCGGGTTCTTCTTTGTTTTAATAAATTTTAGCGTAATATCCTCATTTCTATTTTGTTAATAAATGTACAAAAATGACCCCTATAACCTTCTATGGCAGCGTCAAGCGAAAAATAGGCCTTTGAATGAATTTCTCTGTTTTTCGCAATCGTATTGTGGTTGATTGCATTCTATATATGATTTAAAATGGTTACGTAGGAACGTTGGCGCAAGCTGTACCAATCTCGAGAATCAGCTATAGTCTGCGAAACCTCAGCTGCATCCTTATAAGATGAGCTACCATCCGGGTTTGAGTGAAGAATATTGAGCAATTAATTTACAACGCCCGCTTCCGTCAAAAGCATTGGGCCTATGAATGATCTGTTACAACAGTGAGTAAACTTCAGTGAAGGTTACAATATCATTCAGGTATTGCAACCATTTATGTATTCATTTATGTATTGTATGATGTATGTATTGTAACAATATCACTTACGTATTGTACCTATATGCGACGACATTTTATGTTTGTTGTGGAATGTTTCCCCCTGTGCTAGAATATCTAGCAGGAACAAAACGCAGCGGGATGTTCGCTGCATTCATCGCAACTGCGCCAACAAGCCTTCCCCAGATGCACCGTTTAACGGAGTACACGTCCTCGCGTTATGCACCATTTCTTCGGGGGGCTTCTTCCCATGCTTCTTTCCAAGCCCGTCTAACGTCTTTGTGGAGAAATGTGGTGCGGGAAGAGGAACATCGTCGAAACGTTGCATGTACTAACGAGGAGTGTCCGCCGGGCCAATTATGAAATGAAGTATTGCGCATAACAGAAAAAAAATGACCATCGCGAAATTCAGATAGGGCACACAAAACGAAGACCGCGCGACAACGGCGCTGCAGTGTGTTCTGTAAGTATTACGGGCTGTTTTTTTTAAGTTATAAGCATGAGTCAAATATCCCAAGCCTGAACCTTAGTGAGCATTGCGGCCACGGGATTTGCTGAGGCGCAGCTATCCTTCTGACATCTTGTGATCCGAATGTTCCAGGCTTAATTTGTAAAGCACGATTTTCTCATTTTTTTTTCGTTGAACGTTCTCGCCGTCAAATATTTTTTTGATGTGACATATATAGTCACTAAATGTCTGCAAAAATAAGAGCACACAATCAAGGATTGTGATCCAATGGACTTATCTCAAAATTGTATCCCGCCATCGTTGCATTACAGTAGCGCTGAGTTCGTGGCTGCCACTTCATAAACGAAGACCTGTTCCTCCCTTGACCCCCCTTTCCCGCCAAATAAAACGAAAGGTGTGGCGTATGGTGATAGGAAGGCCTGACTAAATTTTATTTATTATAGTGTACTTGTTTATCAATATCAACACTGCCTCCATGTTTTTCGAATCATTGGGATTGCATTGTCAACTGCGATCCTATTTTATGAAGTAAAGAGATGCATCTGATAGCCCTTAAAAGTTGAGAACATATCAAATTTTTAAAAAGAAATCAGAGTATAGCACTGTGAATGTTCCAAGTGTTCCAGAGTAAAAGAGAATTATAAAGTTGGAAGTCTTCCCCAGAGAAGGCTTACTAAATGGGGCTGTAATGCCTCCGTTAAGGTTATAATCACCTACTTTTGAAATTTCACAACATTCTCATTATGACTTCTTTGCTTTAATTGCAGAAATACGAAAGAGAGCAGCTGAATCCATACCAACAATTCACTCCGTTGGCAATACTTCCTTCACACGCATAAAACTTTTGCGTGTTATTTTGGAAAGTTTAAGTAAAACTTCGCGTGGCAGGAATTTTGAGGGCTTGAAGTAGGTTGCTCGAATGTGAATGTTGTTGACTGCCATCAAGAGAAAGCAGCGCTGATTGTACCTCGATTCTTGTGACTGGCGGAGGCGTTCTTTTTTTTCTTTTTCGACAAATCGCAAAATGCAGTGAGTGACTTTAATTTCGCATTGAAGTGTATTAATAAAACTCTTAAGTGCTGTCCTCGTTTCTTGATCTACTCTCTCTAGCGGACACATTATTGTTGTGCGAACGTTGATTCTACTAACGAGAATGTTGCGGGAAGCTAGCAGCAACGTAGCATCAACATTAATTTTGAGAAACAAGCGCTCTGAATGCTGGAGTTGATTCCTGCATGTGGTATGCTGGAGAGATGTTGAGCTTTTCATCCAGCACTTGATTTTTCATTAATCTCTATAACACGTAATCGTGTACGCGGTACAGAAAGAAGTTAGCAAAAATAAAATTGATAAATAACTAGACACACTATAGGACGTCCTCCATTTGCATCAAATTTCGAAGAGTTTTTTTTTTTGCTGTATCGAGATTTCTGGAACATCAGAAGGTGTGATATGTGTCGTGCGCGAAGCTTCAAAGTGCGCGCCATTCAAAGTGCGCGCCATTCAAAGTGCGCGCTTGAAGCAGACAACGACGAAGGTAGCACGAGCGCTGAGTAGCGGGGCGGCGAAGGTACGAGAAGGAACGAGGAAGACGGGGCTCTCGACTCGGCCGTTGGGTTCCGGACCCGAGCCTAGTAACAGTCGAGCCCGGCCTACCTGCCACGTTCTACCTGCCACGGCCGTGCGTCGCTGACGTGCTGCGGCTTCAAGGCATCCTGTGCTTGAGGACACGCGGAGCTGTCGGGCTACGGGCACGAGTTCCAGTAGAGGTGTCCGGCCTGTACGTGGTCGGTGGTGGTGCGTATACCCTTCAAGTTGCCGCCTCGTCTACCGTGCGAGCAACGCGGAGCTGTCGGGCTACGGGCACGAGCTCCAGCAGATGTGTCCAGCCGCGACGTGGCTGCGGGGGCGGAGCCTACCCATCAACTAGTCGCCTGGTTGACCGTGCGGACAACGCAAGCCAGCTCAAGACGTAGCAACGAACCTCGGTGAGACCGACCTCATGTCTTGTGTCCATGCTAAAAAGGAGGGACGGTTAGTTTAGGACTTTGATAGTTCACAGAGACAGTGAAGGATTCTTTAAATAGCCTGTCCATGTTATGTGTGTTCGTTTTTCGTGTGTATAAAGTGTGGCGTACAAACGGCCTCGTCTTTTCGTGGGAGTCTGGGGCGACGGCTCGGACACCCAATAACTAAGAACCTGCACGTTGCTATAACACCCACTGCAATGTAACACTGGCGTCCGCTGCGACAGGACGAGGCCATTTGTATCGCTTGAGTCAGGCTGACGATTAGTGAGGAAAAGATGAGCTCGACAGATTTAATGGCGTTAGCCATGCGCATGGGTTTGGAAGGTGCGGAATTGAAAACTTGGATTGATGAGCGAGAAGCTCGAGCTCGTGAGGAAAGGGCGGCAGAAAGAGAGGCGAAGAAGGAACAAATGCAGTTGCAATTACAAGTCGAGGAGCAGGCCCAAAGGACGATCCAATTGCGCCTTCAACTGACTCAGACTGAAACCGCCAGAGAGCCTGTCGGGGCAGACATAGGTCGATCATCAAGGGTGTCTTCCAACGTCAATCCTCATAATTTTATACCAGGATTTGATGAAAACCGGGATGACCTAGATGCGTACTTAAAAAGGTTCGAGAATGTGGCGACAGGGCAAGAGTGGCCTAGAGACAAGTGGGCCACGGCTCTGAGTTTGTGCCTAAGCGGAGAAGCGCTAAAAGTGTTTGGTCGCCTATCCCCTGAAGATGCACTTGATTACGAGAAAGTGAAACTGGCTCTATTTCAGCGATTTCGCTTCACAGCGGAAGGGTACCGTGAGAAGTTCCGGCACAGTAAGCCTCAAGAGGGAGAAACCGGCCGGCAGTACGCTGCACGATTAATGAGTTTTTTCGACCGATGGGTGGAAATGTCGAAAGTAGACAAAGAATACGCGTCAGTTCGTGACCTGATTGTAGCTGAACAGTTCATCAGTAAGTGTCATGATCGAGTGGCGCTCTTTTTGCGTGAAAAGAATTGCCGTAAACTTGAAGAAATGGCTGAAGCGGCAGATCAGTTTTTAGAGGCACAGCGACAGTCTAACCTGCTTGTTTTCCGAGAAAAGGCTGAAAACGGCATGGCTGTGAAAAGTGGGAGCACGACCTCAAAAACTTCAGTGCAATGTTTTGTTTGCAACAAAATCGGCCATAAAGCCTCAGATTGTCGCGCTCGGACGAAGCAACCTTACTGTGGGCATTGTCGTAGGGCAGGACACGATACCCAAGTTTGCACCAAGAAACCCGCCACGTATAAAAAGGCTTCATGTATATTGTCCGAAGAGAACTCTAAAGACAATGATAACGCATCCGGCGGCGGGCCCGAGAATAATGTGTCGGGGGCAGTAAACACGCAACAAATGGCAACGAAATATCAGATGCCAGTTCTCCAGGGTCTCCTATTTGGTAAGCCTGTCTCTGTTCTTCGGGATACAGGAAGTAACACGACGGTTGTGCGACGTTCCCTCGTGCCCGACGAAGTGCTGACAGGAGCTATGACGACAGTATTTTTAGCCGATGGGAGCAGAATAAAAGTTCCCGAAGCAAAAGTGGAGATATTTTCGCCCTATTTTTCTGGCACGGTGATCGTTAAATGCATGACTTCCCCATTGTATGACGTCATCGTGGGAAACGTGCCAGGATCCCGTGATCCCAATGATCCAGATAGCAGGTGGAGCGAGGGACTGTCGGAAAGGAAGACGAAGTCTAAAAGCGTCAAGGAGAGATTAGGGGTGATGAAAGCAGATCGCTACGGGAGACCAATGATCAGCGTAGTCAAGAATTCAAGTGCTTCGTTGGA